CCGAACTGGTGCCGAAGGGGCTCGGCTACAACAACCCCGCTCAGGCGCCCGCCTGGCCACGTCCCAGCTGCACACATGGGCTCCTGCTGGAATTTCCTTGGGCCAGGGGCTGGCGCTACCTCCGCAGCTGTTTCCATGCCGGGCCCCGTCGGCTCCTCAGCGCCAGACCTGGCTCCCTGGAGCCTCTCGGACAGTCCCAGCCTCCCAGGCCTAACGGGACGATGCGCTCGGCTGGGCTGGCCCCTGGCACTGCAGAGGCCACAGACCGTCCCTGAATTCATTCCCGTTTGCCCTATAGCTCAGCTCGGGAAACCTGCTAATCCTGGTCCCATCCTGGCCAGTGATGGAGACGCCCCCCCGGACCCTGGTACATTGTGCCAGCAGTAACAAACTGTGCCCGATGGCTACTGGATGTGCCTGGCTTCTGATCCAGCCACTGGCTCGGGCCATAATTTGTCAGCTGCACTGATGCGATGGCCACTCCTGCCACGCCCCAGCCAGGGTTACACCTGGGAGCAGGAAAACAAGCCCCTGGCCAGAGAACCTATTAATTATCATAGGATGTGGATAAATTGAAGAGTGTCCAGTGCTAGAGGAGCCAACTGGGGGGGGCGCTTTTCTTGACCTGCTGCTCATAAACCGGGTAGAATTAGTGGGGGAAGCAAAAGTGGATGGGAATCTGGGAGGCAGTGACCATGAGTTGGTTGAGTTCAGGATCCTGACGCAGGGAAGAAAGGTAAGCAGCAGGATACGGACCCTGGACTTCAGGAAAGCAGACTTCGACTCCCTCAGGGAACGGATGGCCAGGATCCCCTGGGGGACTAACTTGAAGGGGAAAGGAGTCCAGGAGAGCTGGCTGTATTTCAAGGAATCCCTGTTGAGGTTACAGGGACAAACCATCCCGATGTGTCGAAAGAATAGTAAATATGGCAGGCAACCAGCTTGGCTTAATGGTGAAATCCTAGCGGATCTTAAACATAAAAAAGAAGCTTACAAGAAGTGGAAGGTTGGACATATGACCAGGGAAGAGTATAAAAATATTGCTCGGGCATGTAGGAATGATATCAGGAGGGCCAAATCGCACCTGGAGCTGCAGCTAGCAAGAGATGTCAAGAGTAACAAGAAGGGTTTCTTCAGGTATGTTGGCAACAAGAAGAAAGCCAAGGAAAGTGTGGGCCCCTTAATGAATGAGGGAGGCAACCTAGTGACAGAGGATGTGGAAAAAGCTAATGTACTCAATGCTTTTTTTGCCTCTGTTTTCACTAACAAGGTCAGCTCCCAGACTGCTGCGCTGGGCATCGCAAAATGGGGAAGAGATGGCCAGCCCTCTGTGGAGATAGAGGTGGTTAGGGACTATTTAGAAAAGCTGGACGTGCACAAGTCCATGGGGCCAGACGAGTTGCATCCGAGAGTGCTGAAGGAATTGGCGGCTGTGATTGCAGAGCCATTGGCCATTATCTTTGAAAACTCGTGGCGAACGGGGGAAGTCCCGGATGACTGGAAAAAGGCTAATGTAGTGCCAATCTTTAAAAAAGGGAAGGAGGATGATCCAGGGAACTACAGGCCAGTCAGCCTCACCTCAGTCCCTGGAAAAATCATGGAGCAGGTCCTCAAAGAATCAATCCTGAAGCACTTGCATGAGAGGAAAGTGATCAGGAACAGTCAGCATGGATTCACCAAGGGAAGGTCATGCCTGACTAATCTAATCGTCTTCTATGATGAGATTACTGGTTCTGTGGATGAAGGGAAAGCAGTGGATGTATTGTTTCTTGACTTTAGCAAAGCTTTTGACACGGTCTCCCACGGTATTCTGATCAGCAAGTTAAAGAAGTACGGGCTGGATGAATGCACTATAAGGTGAGTAGAAAGCTGGCTAGAGTGTCGGGCTCAACGGGTAGTGATCAATGGCTCCATGTCTAGTTGGCAGCCGGTATCAAGTGGAGTGCCCCAGGGGTCGGTCCTGGGGCCGGTTTTGTTCAATATCTTCATAAATGATCTGGAGGATGGTGTGGATTGCACTCTCAGCAAATTTGCAGATGATACTAAACTGGGAGGAGTGGTAGATACGCTGGAGGGGAGGGATAGGATACAGAAGGACCTAGAGAAATTGGAGGGTTGGGCCAAAAGAAATCTGATGAGGTTCAATAAGGATAAGTGCAGGGTCCTGCACTTAGGACGGAAGAATCCAATGCACCGCTACAGACTAGGGACCGAATGGCTAGGCAGCAGTTCTGCGGAAAAGGACCTCGGGGTTACAGTGGACGAGAAGCTGGATATGAGTCAGCAGTGTGCCCTTGTTGCCAAGAAGGCCAATGGCATTTTGGGATGTATAAGTAGGGGCATAGCGAGCAGATCGAGGGACGTGATCGTTCCCCTCTATTCGACATTGGTGAGGCCTCATCTGGAGTACTCTGTCCAGTTTTGGGCCCCACACTATAAGAAGGATGTGGATAAATTGGAGAGAGTCCAGCGAAGGGCAACAAAAATGATTAGGGGTCTAGAACACATGACTTATGAGGAGAGGCTGAGGGAGCTGGGATTGTTTAGCCTGCAGAAGAGAAGAATGAGGGGGGATTTGATAGCTGCTTTCAACTACCTGAGAGGTGGTTCCAGAGAGGATGGTTCTAGACTGTTCTCAATGGTAGCAGATGACAGAACGAGGAGTAATGGTCTCAAGTTGCAGTGGGGGAGGTTTAGATTGGATATTAGGAAAAACTTTTTCACTAAGAGGGTGGTGAAACACTGGAATACGTTACCTAGGGAGGTGGTAGAATCTCCTTCCTTAGAGGTTTTTAAGGTCAGGCTTGACAAAGCCCTGGCTGGGATGATTTAACTGGGAATTGGTCCTGCTTCGAGCAGGGGGTTGGACTAGATGACCTTCAGGGGTCCCTTCCAAGCCTGATATTCTATGATTCTATGATCATAGGAAGCCAGGCAGGGCCCTGCCCCCGAGGCTGATAGGGAAGGCCTTCACCGTGACACAAGGGTGAGTAGGAGATGGTGGGGCAGGGGCAGGCTCTGTCATTGCTTACTGTAAAGGGTACAGGGTTACGGTTGCCAGGTCTCCGGTGTTCGACCGGAACGCCCGGTGAAAAGGGACGCTAGCGGCTCCGGTCAGCCGTTAAAAGTCTGGTCAGCAGCGCAGTGGGCTAAGGCAGGCTCCCTGCCTGCCGTGGCTTCGCGCGGCTCCCGGAAGCAGTGGTATGTCTCCCCTCTGGCTCCGAGGCATAGGGGCAGCCAGGGGGCTCCACACGCTGCCCCGCCCCAAGCGCCGCTCCGCAGCTCCCATTGGCTGGGAACCACGGCCAATGGGAGCTGCAGGGGTGGCGTCTGCAGATGGGGCAGCGCACAGGGCTGTGTGGCCACGCCTCTGCGTAGGACCCGAAGAAGGGACACGCTGCTGCTTCTGGGAGCTGCCTGAGGTAAGCACCGCCCAGAGCACCCCGACCCCTCCTGTGCCCCAACCCCCTGCCCCAGCCCTGATCCCTCTCCTGCCCTCTGAACCCCTCAATCCCAGCACGGAGCCCCCTCCTGCACCCTAAATCCCTCATCCCTGGCCCCACACCACTGCCCGCACCCCCAGCCAGAGCCCTCACCACCCCTGCACCCCAACCCCCTGCCCCAGTCTGGAGCCCCCTCCTGCACTCTGAACCCCTCATTTCTGGCCCCACCCTGGAACTCGCACCCCTAGCCCAGAGCCTGTACCCCTCCCACACCCCAACCCCCTGCCTCAGCCTGGAGCCCCCTCCCATACTCTGAACCCCTCGGCTCCACCCTCCAGCCCAGAGCCCCCTCCTGCACCCCAAACCCCTCATCCCTGGCCTCACCTCAGAGCCTGCACCCCAAGCCAGAGCCCTCATCCCCTCCCACACCCAACCCCCTGCCCCAGCCTGATGAAAATGAGTGAGTGAGCGAGGGTGGGGAGAGCAAGCAACAGAGGGAGGGGGGATGGAGTGAGAGGGGCAGGACCTCGAAGAAGGGCCAGGGCCTCAGAGAGGGGGCGGGGCAAAAGGTGTTTGGTTTTGTGCAAGTAAAAAGTTGGCAACCCCATAAGGGTATGTCTGCACTGCAGTCGGGAGGTCTGATGGCACCACCTGAGCTAGCTCTGATCTAGCTAGAAAACATTTCCAGTGTGTGTCGTCGTCCCCCCGACCCCACAAACTGGATGAGCCATTAAAAAAACTGTAACAAAAATTAAATCATATTTTAGAAAGGCAAACGGGCCCAGTCAAGCAACGTGATGGCCTTGTCAGCCATCCGCTCTGCTTGCCTGCCCCTGGCTAAACTCCAGTGGAAACCCAAGAAACAAACCCTCTTTGTCCAGGAACCCCAGCAGTGACAGCTGCTGAGCGGAACCAGGCCAGTTCCCCTCGCTGCAAAGACACGACAGCACACCAGTCAGGCGCCACCCAGCCCCGCTGTGTAACCAGGGGTGCTAAGAGCAATAGTGTCAGGCAGGCTGCAGAGCCAGGCGCTGGTGACAGGCGGGCACACCCAGCAGGAGTGTCAGGCGGGCTGCAGAGCCAGGCGCTGGTGACAGGCGGGCACACCCGGCAGACTTGTTACAAGCAGAAGCACTAAAAACAGGCACAGTGTCTGGGCTGTCGCTCAGCAGTCCTTGGCACAGGACGGGGTGGACAGCTTGATGCTGTCTTTGCAGCTCCCTGGTGGTACCTTCACTCCCCCCCAACCACCCCCCGGCCTGGGCTCCATACCCCAGGCTGCACCATCCTTGTGCCCTGCACGCAGGGCATCGTGACCTCCCCCTGCCCGGGGCTGCGTCCCCCTGCCCTCCGTTGTCCTTGCAGTCCTTGCATTCCAGACGTCTCGCTGTTTCCATCACCCAGAGATAATATTCATGGCTAGCAGACGTTTGCGTCAGTGTCAGATACGTCTCAATGCCACCGTGCCCAGGCAGAGCCCAGCCAGGAGGGCCCAGCGAGTGGCGCTGGCTGTGCAGATAGACGCTCACGACTGAGACCCCTGCGCGTGCCAGAGCCATGTGGCTGCTGCACCTGTTGCTGGCCCTGCTGGCTCCTGTTCCTGCTGCAGGCTGCCAGGGTGCTGAGCTCGACAGGCAGCTCGTCCTGGCCAAGCTCCGGGCCCAGATCCTGGAGTATCTCAGCCCCAGCAGCCGGGCCCAGCAGGAGAGCAGGGGGATGCACAGGAGACACATCCCAGGGACTCCAGACCGGCGGGGCCAGGAGCTGGAGGACACCTCCCAGGTGATACTTTTCCCCACCACAGGTGAGAGAATGGGGGGAGAGCTGGGGAGGGGGGCTTGGGCTAGTTGGGGGCAGTGGGGAGAGTGGGGGGCTCATGCTACTGGGGCAGTGGGGAGAGTGGGGGGCTCAGGCTGGGCAGGGGCAATGGGGAGAGCTGGGGGGGCTTGAGCTGGGCAGGGGCAGTGGGGAGAGCTTGGGCTGGGCACAAATGGGGGGCAGTGGGGAGAGCAGGGGGCTCGGGCTGGTCGGGGGCAGTGGGGAGAGCAGGGGGCGCTCAGGCTGGGCAGGAGCAGTGGGGAGAGCCATCCTGACCCACAGGCCTTGCTCGTTGAGCCCTGGGCTCCTCAGTATCCCCCGCTGTGCTGGTTTGTGGCTTGGCTGGCAGGGGCGCAGTTGAGACCCCAAAATGAAGTTGTGACTGCAGGTGAATTTGAACCCTGGTCCCCTCTCTCCCCAGGGCATCTGACAGCGCAGGAGGGGTTGGGGGCGCTACTGGGGATCTGCCCCAGCCTTTACCTGTGGGAGGAGGGGTTAAGACCCCATGAGGGTCAAGAGAGCTGGGGGCTCCCCCTCCCTGCCAGCAAACCAGAGCCACTTACGGCAGCCCAAGCCGTGGTGTAGGTACCACGCTGCCCATGGGACAGTCACACCGGCCCCCCCAAGGCTCCACGGACGGGGCCCGGAATGGGGGCCCCTCCGGCCAGAGTGAGCAGCCCCCAAGCACATGTGGAGGTGGTGTGGGGGAAAGCACAATGCTGAGGGATGGAGGTGCAGGCTAGGTGCCCCCAGAGATGGAGAAGCTGCTTTGCATGGGGCAGGAAGCTGGACCTGGTGGGGCTTGATCGGAGCTGGGGAGGGTGGGTGAAGGAGTTGGAGCAGAGCTTGGAGCGTCTACATCAGAGATGGGGGAAGTAAGGGGGGGTGGAGTGGAGCTGGGGGGAACAAAGGCAGGGAGCTGGCTGGGGGAGGACTTGTGGGGGCCTGACTGGGCTGGAAGTGGTCTGGGAAGTGGGGGGCAGCAGAGGAGCTAAAAGGACCTGGAGGGGTGAGTGGATCAGGGCTGGGACAGCTGAGGGCTGGATCGAAGGAGTGGTGGTGGGGGGGGGGGATGTAGGGGCTGGATCAGCACTGGGCTTGGGGAGCAGGGGGAAGTGACTCAGCCAGGCGGGCTCCCGGGGGCGGGTTTGCTGCTGTTAGCCCTGTGGCCTGCACGTCCGGCTGCTGGTTCTCTAGGCACGTGTTCCAGCAGGTACGGATACGGGTGGGGGGCAAGGCCGGTGCAGTGGTGGGGCCGGAGTCTCCAGGAAAGTCTCCCCTCCACCCTGGGGCCGGTGTCCTGGAGCGCACAGCCCGATAGCTCAGAGCTGCTTTTGGAAAAAAGGCTGTGCCTGTAAGCGGCTGGTGCCTTGTCCCCCTTCAGCCCTGGGCCGAGTGGGTGTGACCCCAGGCCCGAGCGAGCCCTGCCCCAGGCCACACTGCAGAGGGGGCACCGCAAAGGTGTCTGGCTCCTGCCCCTATGAGATCCCGAGTCACACCGAGCCATGCAGTTGCTCCTGTCTGACACGAAGAGTCAGGCCCTTCTTGTCCTGCCAGGCACCTCCCCTGGGACAGGGCATCCAGCTCTGGGGAAATGTGAGACGCTTGGCGCCAGGTGTAACTGAGATTGGTGCCTGGAGCTGCCAGAGGCCCAATGGGCCAGGTAGCAAAGCTCCCTGCCCCCCCCCCCCAACACACACACACACCTCTGCTGATGCCCCGCAGGCCCCTGCCAGCCCAGCCCAGGTTCCCCCCATTCTGCCAGTACCCCTCAGTCCCAACCCACAGCTCCCTGCTATCCCAGCCCTGGCTGGGCTCCCCTCACGCATCTCTGCTGGTGCCCCTCCATCCTGACCCCCAGCGGTCCCACCGAGGCCCTCCTGAACTCAAGGGTTAATGCTGCAGACCCAAATTCCTGACCTGCTGTTCCAAAGCCTGGCTTGGTGTAGCCAAGAGCCCTGGCTCCTGGTTCCCACGTTCCCCTCACTCCCTGAAGGCACCTCCTGTAGGGGGGCACGCTGGGCAGGCCCAGGCCCAGGCCTCGGGACTCCCGGCTGCTCTGCTGACCCTTGCCGCCCGTTTGCAGATGTGCCGTGTGAGCCGCCCCAGCCGGACGAGCTCCCAGAGGACGAGAGTGTTTTCACCTACCTCTTCCAGCCTTCGGCTCACACCCTGAGCCGCGTGGTGACGTCCACCCAGCTCTGGTTCCACACAGGCCCCGTCGTCGTCGTGCCCCCCAGCTCGTCAGCTGCGGGCAACCGCTCAGCGGGGGGGGCCGACGTGCTGGTCCTGTCGGGGCAGGGCCGGGTCACCGTGGCAGCCACCGTGGTGCAGGCCGCCGAGCAGTGGACGGTCTTTCACTTCGCGGCGCCCTTCCTGCGTTACGTCTCCCGGCAGCTCTTTGTGCTGCTCGTGCGCTGCCCGGGCTGCCCCTGCACGGCCGCTGCAGACAAGATGCCCTTCCTCATGGCCACCACCAAGCCCAAGGGGCCGGACAGAGCCCGCCGCGCCTCCGTGCCCTGGTCCCCGGCTGCCCTCAACCTGCTGCAGCGCCCGTCGGAGGACGCCGCAGCCCACGCTGACTGCCACCGGGCCGCCCTCAACATCTCCTTCGAGGAGCTGGGCTGGGACAAGTGGATCGTGCACCCCAGCAGCTTCGTCTTCCACTACTGCCACGGCAGCTGCTCCGACGCCCACACCCTGAGCCACGCGCTGGGCTTCCGGCTTTGCTGTGCGGCGCTGCCCAGCACCATGCGCTCCCTGCGCGTCCGCACCACCTCCGACGGCGGCTACTCCTTCAAGTACGAGACCGTGCCCAACATCCTCACCCAGGACTGCGCCTGCATCTAGGGCACTGGGCGCCACGGCAGCCCTGCGCTGGGCTCTGCCACAGCCGGCCCGATTCTCCCGGGAGCTCCCCGCCTCCCCAGCCCCACGCCTGGCTCCCTGAGACAGGGGCTGTTTTCCTGCCATGCGGCATTGGGATGACCCAGCATGACAGAGCCAGGTCATTGATCCCAGCTCCAGAAGTGGGGGGGGGGGTCATTGCATTCAGCGAACCCAGTGGGCTCACAACCCCCTGCCCAAAGGATCTGCCCATCCCAGAGCAGACAAGGGGTTTGTGAGTTCAGGCTGCAGCTTCCCTACAGCCCCTGGAGTCAAGGAGCCAGCCAGGTCCCAGCTGGGGCAAAGGGAAGCATGCGGTTCAACTCGCCAAACCTGCTCCGGGGTCAGTCCCTGCAGCTGCACAACTGAGACCCCCCCCCCCCCCCCGGCTGCTCCCTTGGTGCCTTGGCAGAGGAACCTTCATTACCCCAATCCCCCGCCCCGCCCCGCAGCTGAGGCCTGAGCAGGGAGGACTGGCCAAGGCTCTGAATGCCCCAGCCAGAGCCGGGGGAGGGAGGGAGGGAGGCAGGCGCTGAGCACCGGGACTAGCAGGATATTGCTCAGCCTGATGGCAGCCGTGGGGTGGTGCCCAGCCATGTGTAGCAGGAAGGGAGTTTACCCCTCAGGAAATCACAAGACTGGGGCTAAGGGAACTGAGCCGTAGCAGAGCCTCTGCCCTGCCGGGCCACTCCTCAGATAGGCCCCAGGCTGCTCACCTCACCCGGCCCCGCCCCAGGGCAGTACTGGTCCCCCTCAGCGTGTGGGATTGCTTCAGCTGCCGGACTGGCTGACAAACTTGGAAATAACAAGGGAATAATCTCCCCCTGCAACCCATGGGAAAGCAGGAGCAAGCGCTAGCCCTGGCTCAGAGGGGACAGCTGCCTGCTACCTGGCCTGACCAGGCTGGGACAGGGGGCAGAGTGCAGGGGCTGGGACATGCAGCCTCCACCTGCACCAGCAAGCGAAGGGCCTGGGGGGCAGGCTGCTATAAAGGTGGTTTTCTCACAGGGTAAATTAAATAAATCCTTGTTTCAAGGGAGTGGAAATGCAAATTCTGATCACATGCAACCCTACAATTCCCCCCAGGGTGTAACTGGCAGGATTTGAACTCCACCATCAGAGCACCAGCACAGACCAGGGCCAGCTTGGCACACGGGAGTACCTGGCGACCAGCCCAGCGTGCGCACTTTGCCAGCAGGTTACAGCTATTTGCCAGCTCGCAGTAGGAGACCAGTGATGAGGGACCAGGTTCTCTGGACCTGGGAGGGCTTAGCAGGGGTCACGGCTGCAGTGGTCAGACAGAGCGATCTGGCCACACTGTCCTTCAGGCTAGATGAGCCAAGCAATGGAGATGCGTTTGCCATAATCGAGAGCCATGTTCTAGTCAGAATTAGGCCAGAAGTGACCTTGTGCCCCTATTTTACCAATACTGGGCTCCCTGCTCCGGCGGGGGTGCAAGGCCTCACACAGGAGGGAGCTGTGAGGAGCACAGGAAAGATGAAACCAGAACTTCTATCTCCTGGTTCCCAACTCACTGCACCTCCGCCGATTGCATGGGAGAGGTCTCTCACCTGCCGATCGCCGCCTGACATGATGGCACGAGGCGGCCAAGCAGCCAGACACACCCAAGGGCTGAACATTAGGCCCAGTCTGGCACGCAGCGCTTGCAGGGGACGAGGGGTCACCAGAGCTGGAGGACGAGGGGTCACCAGAGCTGGCTGAAATAGGAGACACTCTGTGTGGAGACCAGAGACTCTCAGCTCAGCTCTGGAGCTATAGCACTCACGCCAATAGAGCCCCGGGACAGGGGACTGGCTGCCTCGGGAGCTGGGGGGGGCAACAGGGCCTTTCTCCTCCACATGGCCCAGGTTCCCATCCAGCCGCAGGGCGGACCAGGATTCACTCTGCTCCGTCCCCAACCCAGATATGGCCCTGGTCAGTAGGTCTCTGTGATGAACACCAGCGAGCTGGAGGAGCGCCCCATGTGTCAATGCTCCATATTTTCTAATCTGGCAAACCACAGCTCAGTGGTCTCCCTGTGCACACAGACAGTGCCTGGGTCAGGAGGAGGAGGGGAAGCCATGCCGGGAGTGAGAGATCCGGGGCGGTACTCTGCTTTTCTATGCAGCTCCCCCCAGCGCTCCCCACTGAAGAACCAGCTGCAGGGCTCTGTACAAAACATCTCCAGGTTTTACTAAAATATAAAAACTTCATAATCATTTGAGTAAAAAGCAAAGACACAAAATAATCACGTGACCCAGGCTGAGATGATCAGACACACCCAGCATTTCCCAGCTGGTTCTGGACTGTCCGAAGGCACGCAGGCCCCCTGCCACGGCACAGGAACCCGCATTAGCCGCGCCACGCCCCAGACAGGAAAGCAGATGCCTCCAGGATGCCGGAGTCTTGGAATGTAACCAAATCAGCTTTGGCCCAAGCACCAGCCAGCCAGATGCAAAGCTGCTGGCAGGGGAAGTGAAGGAGACAGGCTGGGCCAGGGCCCCTTCCACACCGGCCCCACTGGCAGGGAGCCAGAGATGCCAGCCCCTCTGCCCCAAGCACTGCAGACACCAGGCCCTGGGCAGAAACCCCAGCCTGGCAGTTCGTACCTACGTGTGCGGCGTGGGGGGGCCTTGTGCCGCTGCCACCACAACCTGCGTTACAATCAATGCGGGTCTTTGGCCCTTGGGGCCAAGTTTGCAGCACAGCTGCCCCCTCAGCGCGGCCTCTGCCCTCCCTCCCACTGGGTAGCCTGTAAACCCCCACCTCATAGTGCCCTATTCACCCCCCCCAGAGACCTGCTCAGCCTCTGGCTAATCCACAACTCCCTACACCAGCCAATACAGAGAGCATGAGCATGAGGTGGAGGGGACACCCAGGGGCCTGTCTGGAACAGAAGAACCCTGCAGGTCCCCTGACAAAAACCCAGGGTGGCCAAGGCTCTCCCGCGCAGAGACTTGCCATTGCCCCTGGCAGCTCAGCTGGGAACCAGCTCCCCTCCCTCCCCAGAAATGGATGCCCCATACTGAGAGCTCAGTGCGACCCAGTCTGCCCGCAACTCTGGGTAGGCATCTCCACTGGCTCGGCTCCCCCAGGCCCAGCGCAGCCACAAGATCGAGGTGAAGACGTCAGACCCAGCTGGGAGGAGGGACCCCAAGCGAATAGTGCACGTCGGCCCAGCCCTGCTGGATCCCCTGGGATTCCCACTCAGACAGCTCCCTGCCACTGTGGGAAAGCAACTGAGCATCAACCACCTCCATGCGACTGCAAACCTTTCCCCATGCCAGTGCAGCGACCCTCATTGCTGGGGGCGGGGGCGGGAGGGAGGGGGGGAGAGGAGAAGGAGGAGGAGAGTGTCCCAGGGCTGGGAAGGGGCTGGCTGAAGGTCCCAGAGGGGAGGAGGGCCGCAGGTGTTTGGGGCGGGGGCTGGGGCTGTGCACTGAGAAGTTTTATAAAAAGTACAAAAATAAAAGATTCCCTTTTCTAAAAAAAAGTGAGAAGAGTGAAGGAATGTTCCTCCCCATGCCAGCCTGCCCTGCTGGAGCCCCACAGGAGGCAGAGGGCTTCCCAGCCCAGGCCTCCTCCCTCCTTGGAAGCTCAGCCCCCAACCCTGTCCATCCCCCACCCCGTTTCCCCAGCACAGGTTGTCCAGGTTCCAGTGGTCTCCTCTGGAGCACATTGCCAGTCCCTGTCGCCATCTCTGCAGCCGCCCCGAGGAGCCTAGCTGCTCACAATCCTGTGGAGAGGAGAACACGCACATTAGGGTCCTGCTGCAGCACCCCCAGAGGAGTCAGAGAGAGCCCCGCGGTTGGGGACACAGATGTGGGCAGGCTAGCGCCTGGGAGACAGCTGGGAGCACGGCCCAGGCAAGGCCCAGACCTTCCTCACCTGTGGTTCTCTCACAAGCAGACCCCTCCTTTTCGTGGGCCAAGTTGAGGCGGTTCTGCTCAGCAGCGAGACCGTTGGCCTCAGGGCTGCTGCTGCGCGAGGGGCTGGCTGTCTCCAGAGGGCGGTTCAGCTGGAAGGCCATCTCCAGGTGCTCCTGGGCCATGCAGAGGTGCTTGCGCAGCCGGGCCAGCTCGTGCTCACGGGAGCACTCGGCTGCAGAGCTGGCCAGGTTCTCACTGTAGTCCAGCTTCCCGTTGGCCAGCTGGCCCTTGGGGGATTCTTTCTTCAGTGAGTGGTAGGTGGGAGGCGCGCTGGGGGCCTTCTTGGCATAGGGCGGCCCCGGGTGGCTGTCATGGGGGCTCGGGCTGTCACTGCCCTGACGCAGCAAGTCCCGGATGCGGCCAACCCCCAGGTGACAGAGCTCGAGGAGGTTGAGGAAGAGGCAGAGCCCGCTGACCGCGTACATGATGAGCAGGAAGATGGTCTTCTCGGTAGGCCGGGAGACGAAGCAGTCGACGGTGTGCGGGCAGGGGCTGCGGGTGCACACGTAGGAGGGGCTCACCTCCAAGTGGTACAGCATGTACTGCCCAAAGAGGAAGGCCACCTCCAGCACCGAGCGACACAACAGCTGCAGCACGTAGGCCTTCATCAGCCCATCCTGGCGGATCTGCCGGCGCCCATCGTGTTTCTCACCCCGCTCCCCGCCCTTCTCCTTCTCCACCTCTATCTCCTCGAAGATCATGGGATCCTCCTCGTTATCCTCCTCTGCCTCCTCGTAGTCCCGCCCGGCGCCCCGCCGCACCATGGGCATGTGCCCGCCCCCCCGCTGGCGGCCCTCTGGCCCGCGGGCGAGGCGGTGCATGGCGAAACCCAGGTACATGACGGAGGGCGTGGCCACCATGATGATCTGGAAGATCCAGAAGCGGACATGGGAGAGGGGCGCGAAGGCATCGTAGCAGACGTTCTCGCAGCCCGGCTGCTGCGTGTTACACACAAACTTGCTCTGCTCGTCGTAGTAGATGGACTCGCCGCCCACAGCGGTCAGCACGATGCGGAAGATGATGAGGACAGTGAGCCAGACCTTGCCCACAAAGGTTGAGTGGTTGTTGATCTCCTCCAGGAGCCGGGTCAGGAAACTCCAGCTCATCCTGACCCAGACGATGGCTCAGACCCTACAGGAGGCAAGGGGAGGAGACAGCTGATAAACCTCAGAGTGAACGCAGCCCACTAGCCCCAGCTGAGCCCCCGCACCCCCAGACCCCACAGCACTCACCGCCAAGAGGGGACGCCCCCCAGAGCAGCAGGGCTCCAGCCAGAGCACAGCATCATGGGTATAGCACAGAAGGGAGAGGGGCCTGTTCCTCGGCAGGTCACTGCAGTAGCCCCCGATACCGTGTCCCTCCCCCACTGACTGCAGCCCCTGTCCCTGCTCGCTCGTCCACCAGAAGGGTTCCAGGCACCTCACACATGGGGCAGGAGCCAACGGCTCAAACACTGGGTGCATCTCCCTTCCCCACATGCCTATTCAGTATGACGCCTCCAGTGTCCTCCCCCCAGCACGTCCGCCATGCGATGGCTGTCTCCCCCACTGGACATTCACCCCACCACCACCCAGTGCATCTCACCCCCCCAAACACAGGCTACAAGCCTCTTCCCCCTTGTACCCCTGCTACCCGCATTCACCCTCCATGCGGAGGCCCACAGGGATCAGACATCCCGCTTGCCGGAGGTCTGCCAGGAGCGCGTGCTAAACCAGGCTCCTCAGGGGCAGGTAGATAGGTGCACACACATGCTCCCTCCCCCAGACATGCTGTTGGCTACTGGAAGCCAAACTCCCCACAGGGCACAAACGCACCCACAAGACAAGACAGGACAGTCCAGCCCCTGCCCCTACCCCCACCAGGGGTTAGGTCAGCAGCAACCTGGGCCTACTTCAAACACAGCGCCACTCCAGAATCAATCCAGAGCCAATCCGGTGACATTCCCTGCTCCAACCTGACCCAGCCAGAGACCTTGCTCCCAGAAAGCACCTGCCATGGACTGTGGGAACAGAGACCCCCATCCAGAGGGCAGTGTGAGACGCCTCCCAGCATAGCATACAGCCACCCAATTCACTGCTCCTGCACCCTGCTGGGGGAGAGCGCAGAAAAGTCAGTCACAAAACTGATCTGAGGACTGGAGAAAATGGCTCTCAGTGCGGGACGCACGGAGCTCAGCCTGTTTATTTTATCAGAACAAAGACAGAGAAATGACTGGATTGCAGTCTACAAATACCTTGAGGGGGACACATTCCAGGGCACTACAGGGCTCCCTAATCCAGTGGAGAAAGGCGGGACAAGAACCAATGGCTGCCAGCTGAAGCCAGACAAATCCCAATGAGAAATTAGGCACAAACTAACAGTGAGGCTCATTAACCATGGGAATGGGCCAGGGAGGTGGCAGATTCTCCACCCCAGCCTGGAGGCCTCTCTGGAAGGTGCGTTAGTCAAGCCCAGTTCAGGGGGCTCCATCCAGGGGTCACTGGGGGAAGGTTTCTGGCCTGGGCTCCACACGGGAAGTCAGACAAGATGATGTAATGGTCTCTTCAGGCCTTAATCTCTGTGACTCTGGCAAAGGAGCAGGAGAGAGAAGGCTGGGGCAGAGGGGACGTGCACCCGAAGCACTGGGGAGGTGGGAGGCAGGAGAGAGCTGGGAAACGGCACTGAGATGAAATGAAGAGGCAGCCGGCACCAGCTGGGACAGGCAGCCAGCCAGCATCCCTCCAGCGCAATTCCCTGCAGAGCAGCCCATCCCAAGCACTGCTCCCGTTTGTCCTTGTCACATGGACTCACGCGGGTCTGGCACCAGTGCCACATCCTGGAACGTGGGCAGGTGCTTTGCGAAGGGAGCACCGCCCCGGTCTGGTGCTCACACACAATGAACACCTGGGGGGAGGAACCCTGCTCTGGCCGTGGAGACACCGCGGCCTGTCCCAGCACCACCACGTGGCAGTAGGGCAAGAACTCAGACCAGCCAGTGCCCACTCCCAGCGTCAGACCCACCAGGCCCGGACACCCCACAGTCCCACACGCAGCAATGGGGAAGATTCACAGAGGAAAGAGTTGGCAGAGAGGCCGGTCAGTGGGGAGCAGAGCCCAGCTGCAGGAGGGAGTGGATAGGTGGCCAAGAAATTGCAGGGGGTCCACGAGGGGCAGCTGGCCCCAAAGGTCCTTTGCAGTAGGGGTCAGAGAGGATAGGGGGACACTCTGAGCAGAGGGAGGCCCTGGAGCTGCTTGTGGGGAGACCCAAGAAGGGGAGGCTTTGTAGGGGACGGAGGAGACACCCCTTCTCCCCTGGCTATACTCAGGGGGGCTGGCTGCAGCCTGGTGCAAAGCCTGAGGTGTGGCAAGGCAGCCACAAGAGAGAGGCCGGGTGCAGCCCGGGTGCAGCCCAGGGGCAGGGTCGGGGCACGGCTCTTCCGCAGCACACAGTGTAATGGTAATCTCTGTGCAGCCCCTTCAGCGCCCGCTCACCTCGCCGAGGTATTTCTGGGCGTGTCCACATGACAACTCCTCCAGCCGCAGGAGCCTTGTTGGGGCGCCCTTGCCAGCACTCTGCTCCCCCAGTCCAGCGTCAGAGCGGCGTGCCCAGGGGAGGCGCACCAGCACCGCACCAGCGGTTTAAACCCGCACCTTGGCTTGTGCCCGGTAACTGTCCTGTGTAGACGCGCTAGGGCGCCAGCCCAGCCCTGCGCGGTGCCGACGCTGCAGCCGGGCCCGGAACACGAGTTAGCGCCGCGCCGATACTGGACATTTTAAAACCGCCCAGCGGCCCCGGCTGGAGGGCGAACGCCAGGACGGGCAGCGTGGAAGCTCTATGGGGCCCGTGGGGCGGGGGCGGGCAGCGTGGAAGCTCTCTGGGGGGTAACGGGGGGCGGGGCACCCCCGCCCAGAGTTTCCAGCTTCACACAAAGCCCCTTTTCCCTGCAGCCCAGGGCCGGGCCGCTCCCGCCAACAGCCCCGCCGGTGTCAGGGAACAGGGTCCGGCTCGGCTCGGCACAAACCTGAGACCCCCCCACTCGGCTCCTGACCCCCGCGTCCACCCCCGCCCCGTGCCTGGCTCCTGACCCCCCCCCCCGGCTCCGGGGCTCCCCGAGCCTCTGCCAGCCCCCGAACCCTCCCACTGCCCCCCCGGCCGAGCCCCACCCCAGGCCCCCCCGTGCAGCAGCCCGGTGGGGGGGGCGGGGGGCTCAGGCTGCCCCGGAACCCGCGGCTCCCCCGAGTCAACTCCAACGCGAGAGCGAGACCCGGGACCCCCGGCTCCGCTCCCCCCCGGCCCGGCCCCTCCGAGACCCCCCAGCCCCGGCCCGGCCCCTCCCCCCCCGCCCCGCTCCCCCCCCGGCCCGGCCCCTCCGGGACCCCCCAGCCCCGCTCCGCTCCCCCCGGCCCGGCCCGGCCCCTCCGGGACCCCCCAGCCCTGGCCCGGCCCCTCCCCGCTCCGCTCCCCCCGGCCCGGCCCCTCCGGGACCCCCCAGCCCCGCTCCGCCCCGGCCCGGCCCGGCCCCGCTCACCAGAGCCGGACACGCTCCCGGCGGGACAAAGCGCAGCGCCTGGCTCCCGGCCGCCGAACAAAGCGTGGCCCGGCCGGCCCCGCCCCACGCCCGCCCCCAGCCCCCGGCGCGGCCCCCTGCCCCGGCCGCGGGCCAGATTGCTTCACATGTTGCAATTTTCCGGGAACCAGCCCAGAGCCACCAGCTGCCGCCCCTCTCCCTGTCCCCTAATTAACCACCGGGACACCCCCCCCCACCGACCACCGGGACACCCCCTCTCCCTGCCCCCGGGATACCCCCTTTCCCTGCCCCGAATCAACCGCTGGAACACCCCCCCATCAACCACTGGGCCACCCCCCTCCCTGCCCCCTAATAAACCACCAGGTCACCCCCTCTCCCTGTCCCCTAATTAACCACCGGGACACCCCCTCTCCCTGCCCCTGGGATACCCCCTTTCCCTGCCCCCAATCTACCACTGGAACACCCCCCCATCAACCACCGGGATACCCCCTCAGTGCCCCCCATCTATCCCCCAGGATGCCCCCTTCCTGCCCCCTAGCACCCAGAACACCCCCTCTCCCTGACCCCAATCAACCACCGGGACACCCCCTTACAGCTCCCCCACTCAGCTCCTGGGACACCCCAGGACATCCCTCCCTCCTGCCCTTCCCCACCCCCTCCCTGCTCCCATCACCCCCCCAGGACACCCCGTTCCTGCCCCCCACCAGCTCCTGGGATACCCCCTCTCCCTGCCCCTCATCAGCCCTGGGACACCCCCTCCCTGCCTCCCTCACCCCTTCCCCCCCGAAACCTCCTTCCTGCCCCCCAGCACCCAGGACACTCATCTCCCTGTCCCTCACTCAACCACCGGGACACCCCCTTCCTGTCCCAATCAACCCCTGGGACACCCCCTCCCTGCTCCTCATCAGTCCTTGCCCACTGCCGAGTCACCTTCTCTACCTGACCCGGTCCAGCCTCTGGGACACCTGATTCCTGCCTCCCTTCAGCAGCCCCTGGGACACCCCCCTCCTTGCCCCCCGCAGCAGCCCCCATCCAGCCCCAGGACACCCCCTCCCAGTAGCCCCCTTCCCACCCTCCCCCAGCAGCCCCAGCTCAGCTCCCTTGTTTCATCCCCAGCAACAGCCACCCCCCTTGTCTTCCACCCCCACGCCCTGGCAGCTGACTCCCAACTCCTGGGACACCCCCCTCTCCTGTCCCCACAGCTGCAGCCCCCTGCTTCCCTTCCTGCTCATCTCACCAGGACTGATGCCAGGGCCTGGGGCTGAGTGTGTAAGACCCACACTGCCCCCCTCCCCCCGAAAGTCCAGCTACAGCGCCAAGTCCCTCTGTACAACTCATCTCTGCCCACGTGTCTACCAAGCTTTGCCAGCCTTGGGTTGCAGGAGAGCTGGGAGCCCTGCCCGTCACCTGGACCAACATCTTCTCATGGTTCCCTTGTGCTTCCCCGGCTGGCTGTGGCCACCTGCTGCTTCTTGCCCTGTGAGCTGTGGGGGGGGGCTAGTCCGGGCCTGGGCTTTGGGTCTGTGTCCGGGCAGCCCCTAGCACGGCTGGGCTCCTGGGCACCATGGTAATGCCAATGAGAAACGATAACATGGACACCATCGACACGAAGAGCTCCACACACACTGGCAAAGCATAAACGAGAGATAGAGCCCATGGGTCTCTGCCAGGTCAGGGACACTGCGGCTCCAGGATAGGGCTGGAGGGCGTGTGTGAGAGCAAGAGCGGGTGGGTCAGCGTGTACCTTTGGGGCCTGTGTGTCTGGACTAGAGGTGTATTCTGTGTGTATCTGGTGGGGTATGGTTTGTGTGTTTGGGGTTGCCATGGTTCCAGTGACTAAGTGTGTATTTTAGGTGGGCGTTGCCTTTGGTAGGGTTGTCTTAAGACTGTGTGTAATGCTGACTGGTAGATGTTTGTGTCATCGGGGGTGTCTAGCAGCACCCGTTACTGCTGAGTCACTAGATGGCAGAAAAGGCAGCTTGGGGCGTCATAAATATAAAGGGAAGGGTAACCACCTGTCTGCACACAGGGCTATAAAATCCCTCCTGGCCAGAGGCAAAACCCTTTCACCTTTAAAGGGTTAAGAAGCTAGGATAACCTGGCTGACACCTGACCCAAAATGACCAATGAGGGGACAAGATACTTTCAAATCTGGAGGGGGCAGAACAAAGGGTTCGTCTGTCTGTGTGATGCTTTTGGTGGGAACAGATCAGGAATGCAGCCTCAGAACTTCTGTTAAGTTATTAAGTAATCTAGCTAGAAATGCGTTAGATTTCCTTTTGTTTAATGGCTGGTAAAATAAGCTGTGCTGGGTGGAATATTCCTGTTTTTGTGTCTTTTTGTAACTTAAGGTTTTGCCTAGAGGGATTCTCTATGTTTTAAATCTGATTACCCTGTAAGGTATTTACCATCCTGATTTTACAGAGGTGATTCTTTTACCTTTTCTTTAATTAAAATTCTTCTTTTAAGAACCTGATTGACTTTTCATTGTTCTTAAGATCCAAGGGTTTGGGTCTGTGTTCACCTGATTCTTACCAAGCCTTCCCCAGGAAAGGGGATGTTGGGCTTGGGGGGATATTTTGGGGGAAGATGTCTCCAAATGGGCTCTTTCCCTGTTCTTTGTTTAACATGCTTGGTGGTGGCAGCATACGGTTCAAGGACAAGGCAAAGTTGTCCTTGAACAACTTGAACCTTGAACACATCCGATGAAGTGAGCTGTAGCTCACGAAAGCTCATGCTCAAATAAATTGGTTAGTCTCTAAGGTGCCACAAGTCCTCCTTTTCTTTTTGCGAATACAGACTAACACGGCTGTTACTCTGAAACAAGGCAAAGTTTGTACCTTGGGAAAGTTTTAACCTAAGCTGGTAAGAATAAGCTTAGGGGGTCTTGCATGCAGGTCCGCACATCTGTACCCCAGAGTTCAGAGGGGGGAAGGAACCTTGACAGGGTGGCATCCAGGGACTTGGGGCAAACTGAGGCACTGGGGAGGTGCAGGAAGTCTTGGGTAGCAGGGAAGGGGGTTCTGGGTTGGGGCATTCAGGGCAGCATTTAATATTCAGCATACAGCTCCCTAAAAAACGTTGCTCTCCCAGGGCACACCTAGCTCATGTGCTTCTTGTCTGCTCCGGTGTCTGGGGATTGTGGGGGGCAGAAGCATACGGGCACAGGTGAACGTGTGGGTCTGGAGTGCTACGCGTCCACCCCAACAATCTATTTCCTTGGGGCCCATCACACAGACACTCGCTGCCCAATTAAAATCCCCCTTTAAAACTCTCGATCATCACAATGCCCACAAAAACACTTGGCGTTGGTTAGCCAGCTGGTGTGCTGAGCCTGCTGCCCCTGTGGCCAGGCCCCGTCTCACAGTTTCCTTGTGCACCTCCCTCTGTCCGTGACTAGCCCGCTGTTGGCGGCTGTGAGCGTTTTGGGGCAAGGACCATCATATTGTTCAGTGTTTGTACCACTCCTAGACTATACTGCTAAACAAATGTAACTAATCCCTAACTAGACAGTGTTATGAGCAGCAGCTGGACAGAACTGGTGACACGGAGTGGTCATTCTAAGTCATGCTGGGACTTGCAGGGCTGTTACGGACCCACAGAATCAGTGCTATGATCCCCCCTTTGGAACAGGGGCTGGGAGGCCCTGTCAGTGGGCCAGACGCCCGAGGGGTCTCACTCTTCTTCCAGGGGAAGCCCTGTGGCTTCACTGCCTCCTGGAGCTGGACCCCTGGGCCTGCAGCCCCCCTGGCTCCCCCACCATGAGCTCCAGGCCGCGAGTCCCCTGACACAGACTCCGATGGAGACTTGTACCATCTTGGGGGGCAGCACCCCCTCCGCCAGCATCTGCAGGGACACGCAGCCTGACTGGCGGGTTATTAGTCACCTGGACCCAGCACAGAGAACAGAAAGTTACAGCCGAGACCATCCTGGTCAGCCCAGAGCCCCGTCTCTCTGACCTCCCTTTGTCCCAGGCCAGGTGCGCCCAGAGCCCTCAGCAGCCAACCCTCAACTTCCTCCCGCCCCACCCCAGCCCTTTGTTCCCGAGCCGAGCCGGAGGATGCGGCTCAGCCCCCTGCCCAGTGGCGTGGAGTGCAGATCTCTCTGGGTCCTTGGTTGCTGGGCATCCGTGTCTGGGCAGCTGGATTTGCCATTGTCTTCTCAGAGCTCCACTGATACGGGACCTAAGGCCCCAGGCAGCTGGGAGCCCTTCTCAGCTGTGTTAGCCTGCCCAGAGAGTGAACAGTCCTTTTCCCCCCACTAGGTGACAATGATGCAAATAGGGGAAACTGAGGCACATACAGGCATCATAAAAATATTACACAAAATTCCCAGGTTGTCAAAGGGTCATTGTCACAATAGGCTCTGCCTCCCTGTATC